GAAGTAAAGGCAGCAAATAAACATATGAAAAAATGTTCAACATCACTGGTCATTTGAGAGATGCAGATGAAAACAATGGTGAGATTCCACCTCACCCCAGAAAGAATGGCTGCTATCAAGAAATCAACCAATAACAAATGCTGGTGGGGCTACGTAGAAAAAGCAACCCTACTGCACTGCTGGTGGGAGTGTAGACTGGTGCAACCACTGTGGAAATCATTGTGGAGATTCCTCAAAAAACTAAAACCAGAGGTTCTATTTGACCCAGCTCTTCCCCTTCTTGGTATCTTCCCAAAAGAATTAAAAGCATCATACCACAGCAATATATGCACACACATGTTTATAACACAACAGTTTGTAATAGCTAAATCTTGGAAACAGCCCAAATGTCAAGCAATGGATAAAGAAGTGGTTTTTTTTTTATACAACAGAGTACTACTCTGCCATAAAAAAAGATGTGCTTGAGAAGTTTCTAGCTAAATGGATGCACCTTGAGACCATACTCTTAAGTGAAATAAGTCAGACACACATGTTTAAATACTGCATTGTTTCTCTGGTGTGAGAAACAAAAAGTGGAAATAAGGACTAAAATGTATAATAGATATTGGGAAATGAGAAGAAAATGTTCAAATGATAAGGGGATCATAGGTGGAGGCAGCAGGAAAGGAAATAAGGGGCAAGAAAAAAAAGAAGAGAACCGAAGGGAAAAATGGAAACAAAGCTTTGTAAATAAGATGGGAAGAGGAGTCAAAGGGAGGGAGAGAATGGGAAAAATAGAAGAAGCAAGAAATATCACGTACAGGTACAAACTTTCTATAGCGAATGTGATCATTATGTATATCTAAAATATACCAATAAATGTTTTGCTTCAAATAAACAGAAAACAAAACAAACAAAAATGGTGAGAGTGAGAGTGAATACAGCATATTCAGGAAATTGAGAGGAGACTGGTTATTAGGGGATAGCATCAGTCTTAACCAGATTCCAGACAGCTAAGAAATAAAATCAAGTCAGCATCCTAATCTCAAATCTGGTATAGCAATTCCTATGCCCTTTAGCACCCAATCTTTTAATTTTATTTTTTGGTATAAGGATTGAATTTAGGGGTTTTGCACAGAGCAACATGCCCAGCCCTTTTTCATTTTGAGACAAGGTCTTACTGAGTTGATCAGGCTGGACGTGAACTTGCGATCCTCCTGCCTCAGCCTTCCAGAGTGTTGGGATTGCAGCCATGTGCCATCATGCCCAGCTGGCACCAAATCTTAATTGTATACTCTACATGCCTTTGGAGTTATGGCTATAGATGATACCTCTTGCCTTGAGCCATACTGGTTTAGGAAGTAGACTTACAGGTTGGGCTGGTCCTTAGCTGTAGAAATGGGGAATTCCAAAGGGAGGAGGCCATGCAGCATGGGAAATAAGACAAGGATGTACCTGATAATGTGACCACAACACTGAGCAGTATTACAGGAATTAAATGAATTAATCCAAGGTTTGTGAAACTATAGCCAACAGACAAAACTCAGCCATTTGCCTGTGTGTGCAATTAAAGTTTTATAGGAACACTGCCATAGTTATTTGTCTATATATTTTCTGTGGCTGTTTTTATGCTTAAAAGAAAAAGAAAACAAGTTTAGAGTTGTGACAGAGCATATGACATATGATCATATGATAAAACATTTCTGTCTTTCCCTTTACAGAAAAACATTGCTGATCCTTGCACTTGAATATACTAAGTGCTAAAAATAGAAATTTGGAATATGTTTAGTTGTTGTATGCAAAAAAAAAAAGTATTTAAAACATGTTAAGGATTTTGTATTCCTGGTTTGCACCACCTTTAATGTAGGTATCAAAGGATGGCAAGAAAATATTCTTTGGTAGGAGAATGGCTAAATAAATTGTGGTACAGTCACACAACAAAATACTACATGGAATTGAAAAATAAATAATTACAGCAATAGGCACAAGTCTCAGAAACAATTTTATGCGGAAAAAACAAATCATAGAAACATATAATTTGATAACATTTTTATAAAGCTCAGTAGTAAAAATTTAGGTCTGGGGGTTTAGCTCAGTGGTGCCACCACCTGCCTCACAAGCACAAGATCCTGAGTTCGATTCCTGGTACCAAAAAAAGTAAAAATTTATAGATAGAAAATGTAACAAAACTATTAAAAAAGAGAAATGAAATAATGAACACAACATCCAAGATATGCTGGATATGGTGGCTCATAACTGTAGTCCCAGCACTCTGGGAGGATCACATGTTCCAGCCCAGCCTAGGCAATTTAGTGACTTTGCAAAACCCTGTCTCAAAATTTAAAGAGGCCGGGGGGATGTAGCTTAGTATGAAGGCCTTGGGATCAATCCCAGTACTGCCAGAAAAAAAAAGAAAAAAAAAGGAAAAAAGAAAAAGAAAGGCAGACAGACAGATGACCTGGGATAGGTTGGGAATAGGGAACTTCTTTAGGGGAAATGTGAAATGTGGGGGCAAAATTTTAAGAAAGGTGGGAGAGGAGATTTAGGTAAATTCAAAAGCATTGGTAATGTTATAGTTCTTAAGCTAATGATGGGTTTGTGGATGTTTGTTTTATTATTATGCTCCATAAATTACATGCTGCATATATACTTTTGTATGTATTAAAATTTTATTTAACCATTCCCCTATTTTGAGACATTTGGTTATTTCCATTGTTTTGTAACTGCAAACATGCTACAGTGAGCATGTATAACACAGATTGTTGTGCATGTATAAAAATACAGTATTCCTGAGGATATAATTTAATAAGTACAATTTGGTCAAAGGGAAGGTATATTTAAAAGTTTGATAGATTTCCAGTTACCTTTTAGAAACACTGTACCGAGGGGAAGGGGATGCAAAAAAGAATTAAGATGTGCATGTATCAACAGCAGATACATATATGAAATACTGTTCAACATCACTAGTCATTAAAGAAATGCAAATTAAAACAACACTGAGATTCCACCTCACTCCAGAAAAAATGGCTGCTATCAAGAAATCAATAACAAATGCTGGTTGGCCTGTGGGGGAAAATGGAACCCTTTTCCATTGTTGGTGGGAGTGTAGACTGATGCAACCACTGTGGAAATCAGTGTGGAGATTCCTCAAAAAAACTGAAACTAGAGGTCCCATTTGACCCAGCTATTCTCTTTCGTGGTATCTTCCTGAAAGAGTTAAAAGCATCATACCACAGCGATATATCCACACCCATGTTTATAACAGGACAATTTGTAATAGCTAAATCTTGGAAACAGTCCAGAGGCCCATCAGTAGATGAATGGATAAAGAAAATGTGGTTTTTATATACAATGTAGTACTAGTCTGCCATAAAGAAGGATAAATTTGAGACCTTTTTAGGGAAATGGATGCACCTTAAGAGTATACTTTTATGTGAAATAAATCAGACACACATGTTTAAATATTGCATTGTTTCTCTTGTGTGAGAAAACGAAAGGCTAAGAAAGGACCAAAATGGATGATAGATATTGGGAAGTAGAAAGAAAATGTTCAGATAGTTCGGGGAACAAGGGGAGGGGGGAAGGGGAAAGGAAAGCAGAGACAAGGAAAAAAAAGAAGAGAAGGAAAAATAGAAACAAACATTTTTAAATAAGGAGGGGAAGAGGGGTCAAAGTGGGGGGAATGTGAAAAATAGAAGAAAGATATATCATGTACAAGTACAAATTCCCTATGATGAACATTATTATTATGTATATCTAAAATACACCAATAAAAAAACCCCAAAACAAACAAAAGAAATTGTGAGAGAGAATACAGCATATTCAGGAAATTGATATTATGTACAGGTACAAATTCCTTATGATGAATGTGATCATTATGTATATCAAAAGTGTACCAGCTGGGCGTGGTGGCACATGCCTATGATCCCAGCACCCCTGAAGCAGGAGGATCACTTTGAGTTTGAGGCTAGCCTAGGCTACATCGTGAGTTCAAGGCCAGCCCAAACTGCACGGTGAGACCCTGTCTCAAAACAAACAAACAAAAAACTAAAAAAAAAGGTGTACCAATAAAATTAATTTAAAAAGATAATACATGTACCAATTCCTCACGATGAAGGTAACCATTATGTACTGCAAACATGGACTAATAAAATTAAAAATTTGAAAGAAAAAAACAGGAATCAAAAATAAAGAACAGCAATTAAATAAATTAAAATAAATCAAGTCACTGGACAAGTGTGCTGCCACTAAATGCTATCTATGAAGATACTAGGTAATAGAAAGACTAAAGATAAATGTGAAAAGTCAAACTCTAATCTTATTTCTGCCTCGATCATTCTCAAATAAAATTATGCCTGCACATGTACAGAGACTATTTTAAAAAGATATCCTTAATTATTTTTATTGCATGGCTTGCATAATTAAAATAGGGGATAAAAATTAGGCTACCAAAAAAATGCTGTGCCAATTTATGACCCCATCTTCTGAATAAGTACTGATTGCCACATCCCCTTAGCAATACAAAATTTTACCAAAATGTGAAGTTTTTGCCAAAATGTTACTTGAATACATTCTCCCTGTAAAAACAACAATCCAAGTAAAATGCCCTCTTGACCAGTCACTCCCTAATCTCAATTCTCTTTGGGGAAATTTATTTTACCTTACTACTTTTTATTGTATAATTATACTTGAGGTTCTTAGGAATAATTTCTTAATAATTTACTAATGTTTCCTAGACATATTGGTAATGATTTTTTAAAAAATATTAATACGTTTGCAGTACATAATGATTACATTCATAATGGGGAGTTGGTACATGCATATAACATATCTCAATTCTTTTTACTCCCCCCTCTTTTTCTTTTTACAATTATTTAGACTTAACTATGTGTTTTGTTTGTTTGTTTATTTTCCGGTGCTGGGGATCCACCTCAGAACCTTGAGCTTCCCAGGAAGGCGAGGCGCCGCTGAGCTACATCCTGGCCCTATTAACTGTAAGTTTTACTAGTTTATTTACTCACCATCATCTCCTGAGTTGGCCCCATAGTCACTCTTTTCCTCTGATCCAGGTGAGTGTGACATCTTCTTTTAGGGCTATATTAGAAGACAAAAAATTCACTTTCTTAGTAACCTTCTCCCGTATCTGTATGGTGTTATTGACTCATTGACCCTAGTTTCTCAATCAATTAGATCCCATTTGTTCCATATCTTCAAGAAATTCTCATTGGTCTGCTGATCACACCCTTTCCTGTTATCCTTTGTTTCTTTTTCTTTTTTTCAGGAGAAAAACACATTTGATCAGACTAATAGTGGAAGTCTGACGTGCTTTTTATTTATTTATTTATTTATTTATTTATTTAATTTTTAATTTTTTTTTGTACTGGGGATCGAATTCTGGTCCTTGAGCTTGCGAAGCAGGCAGCGAAACCACTGAGCTAAATCCCGGGCCAGCCCCTGACATGCTTTTTAAAATTACAATGGCTTGAGCCCCCGATAACTTGAATACCAAAAACAAAAACCAAACGAAATCAAAACCACCACTCAGTGTCCTCCAGTTATTTCTGTGGGTTCTTCAAAGTACTACATCTTCAAAGTACTACATCATAGTGAATGAGGTCACAGTGCTATGGTTAAGGATACTTCCGTGATCGCCATTTTGCTGGCCAATTTTATCTACAGATAATTGATTCTAACTTACTTTTACCGAAATTCTTCACATAAATAAAGGCTATAATCTATAAGAGTTTGAAGATGACGAAACAGTAAAATAACAGTAATTTTAATTTGTCTCAAAATGTGGTTTCCCTTAGACAATTGTACCCCCAAACCAGGCCCACTTTTGGAAAGTTTCTAAAGGATACCCTCCCATTTCACAACCTTAGACTGGTGGTTTAGCTTATGGTCACTAGAGGATCGACAGAATTTGTGGTTTGATACCATTCTCTCAGAACTTCAGAGGTGAGGACATTTTCGGAGGGCCTGCTGACATCTCACATCCTGGGTTCAAGCTAACGCCTGCCCAGCGAACCTGGCCAGTTAAGGACGTTCTAGATGATTGACAGTGGATCTGACCAATCCCCTTAGGGGAATGCCAATGACTAACGGGGCACGGTTGGCATCAAAAGCATAAAAAGAAAACTCAAAACTATCTGACAGAGACAGATTTCCCAAAGTAGACCTTATTCTGTCTTTACTAATACCAGGTCAGCCAAGGTTGTTCTGTGCTAAGACTGGCACAATTCTTAAACATACACCACTGTGAAGGAGTGGTCTCCTTACCACTGGTTGGTTGTGAAAGTCCTCATTCTCCAGTAGGCCTCCTCTGACACCACCCCAACGGGAAGAAGGAGAAGCATCGGGTTCCCTAGTGGTCTCCATTGAGGAGGAAGGGCAACGAGGGAAATCTCATTATAAACTTCCAAGGTGGGGAGGAATCGAGGTTCTCTACGCTGCTATTTTTGTTTCTTTTTTGTGGTACTGCGGATTAAACCCAGGGCTTTACGCTGAGTTACATCCCCAGCCCTTTATCTTTTATTTTGAAACAGAGTCTCACTGATTTGCTAAATTGCCCTGGGTGGGCTAGAAATTTCGATCCTCCCTGCTTAAGCCTCCCGGAGTGCTGGAATTACAGGTATGTGTCACCATGCTGTTTGCCTGCTCTGCCGTTTTTGGTGCGGGTAAATTTTTTCTTGGCATCTGGCTAGAGTAGATCAGCTATCTAAAATTTTCTATTTCTAGGTTGCTCTTTTCCTGCCCCATTGTCTAGAAAGAAAATTTTATTGGAATTTTATTTGTCTATGCTATTTTTCACATATACCTTTTCCACTGTTGTAAATGGGATATATGTTTCTGTTCCTGTGTCTGTTATTACTAGAATAAGAGAAAGCTATTGGAATATAATAGAATGATAATTGTAAAATGATGGTGAGTGTATTGGTGTTCATTGTAAAGTTTTAAAATCTTTTCTTGTATATTTGAAAACTGTCATAATAAATGCTGGGAAATAAAACAAAAGGAAGCTATTTTCTTTTTCCTTTTTTTTTTTCAGCATCAGGAATTGAACTCAGGACCTTGAGCTTACCAGGCAGGCGCAGTGCCACTGAGCTACATCCCTGGCTGTATTATTATTTTTTTCTTTTTCCCGTATCAGGAATTGAACTCAGGACCTTGTGCTTGCCCAGCGCCCCAGGTGCTATTTTATAATAGCTCAGAAATAATACTTCAAGGGCCGGAGATATAGCTCAGTGGCACAGCATCTACCTGGCAAAGCACGTGGCCCTGAGTTTGATTCCTGGTACCAAAAAAGAAAAAATAATACCTCAAAACAGGAGAGAAATGAAAGTTATGGGGTTTTGTATATTTATCTTATATCCAGATTGTAATAGGATTATTCTTTGCAAGTGACAGAAATCCAAATTGAATAAGCTAAAGAGGAATATGGAGTTTATTGGTTTATGTAACTGGGAAAGACAAGGAAGTTCTCAGACCCAACTAGAGGGAGAGTTCTCACTCCATCTCTTCATATATCACCTCAGCTTCTTGTTGTAGTACCTCATTCTCTAAGACTCTTCTGCAGGGTGGCTGCCATCTCTGAAGTCACATCCTTACAGTTTGAGATCCTTCTCTACTTCTGATTTGGAAAATTCCAAGAGAAGTCTTATGTGTCTGGTCTGGCTCTTATGCCTACCCCCTTGAACCTGCCAATGGGTCCTGCAGGGGTCCATCCTAAGTTAGGTGCCAAGTCAGCGAGGCTTATGGGGAGGGGATTGCCTGTCCTACTAGGACTATATTCAAAGGACAGTAAAGTAGGAGCTGACTTCCAAAGTCAGATGAGTGCTACTACTGGAAGCAGGGAGGAAGGAATGCTGGGCACATACAAACAGCAGATGTCTGATATATGGACTTGTTAGTTTTATTGTTATAAAGTTGGATTTCTTGGATTCTGAATGCATATAATCATACTATTTGCAAATAACTTTACATTTAATCTTTTGATTTCTTTTAGACTTATACTGTTTATTTCATTTTCTTGTCTTATTACATTTCAGAACCTTCAAAACAACATAATGGACATCTTTTGTGCATTATTTCTGAATTTCAGGGGAAGTGACTTCAATATATTTACTGTTGGCTTTTTGGTATTTACTATATTTAGAAAGTTATTTTTCTTTTTTCTTTTCTTTCTTTCCTTCATTTCTTTTTTTTTTTTTTTTTGTACTGGGGATCAAACTCGGGTCCTTTCTCTTGCAAGGCAGGTGGCGGAACGATTGAGCTAAATCCCTGGCCCTCCTTCATTTGTTTTTGAGACAGGATCTCACTATGTAGTCCAGGCTGGCCTTGAACTCATTATGTAGTCCAGGTTGGCCTCCAACTCTCTGTGATCCTCTTGTCTCAATCTTCCAAGTGCTGGGATTACAGGTGTGTGTCACCACTCCTGTCTAGAAAGTTAATTCGTTGAACTGTACACTTATGATCTGTCTATACTTTTTTTTAGTGATTGTCCATTTCTGTACATTACTTATCAACTTACAAGTTTCTAAAATATACTAAAAACAAGTAAATAAAAATGAATCACACTTCCTCATTGCCAGGAATGAGCTCAGGGGTGCTGCACTTGCCTGGGAAGCACAAGTCCTGAGTTCAATCCCCAGTACAAAAAAAAAAAGAAAAAAGAAATGAAGGAAAAAGACCTGCATAAAGGCATGCCATTGTGAAATTTCAGAATGCTAGCTTTAAAGGACAAACCTTAAAAGCTTCTACAAGTAGGAAAAAGTAATCCGTTTCATACAAAGGAACAGGAACAGGTATAGGAATGGCATTTGACTTCTCAAAAGAAGTTGTTTAAAATTTTTTACCTTTATTAGCATATATTTGCAGTACAAAATGATTATATTTATCATGGGGAGTTGGTACATGTACATATCACATTTTAATTCTTTTTATGTTCCCTTCCCCTTCCTTCCCTCCCCCTCCCTCCATCTCTTTCAAAAGAAGTTATTTCAGCTGAAGACAACGAGCCATGCCTTCAAAATTCGTAGTGAATATAACTTCCAACATAGAATTCTATATTTAGCTAACCTATTATTGAGTGTTAGGGTAGCATAAAAACAGTTTCATTCATGAAGTGCTCAAACATTTTTCTTCCCGTGCACACACTCTGAGAAAGTGACTAGAGGGCATTCTCCACCAAAACTAGAGAGTAGGCCCAGGCATGGTGGGGCACACCTGTAATCCTAGCACTTGGGAAGTTGAGGCAGGAGGATGGTAAGTTTGAGGCCAGCCTGGCTATGTTGCAAGTTTAAGCCCAGCCTAGACTATATAGCAAGACTGTCTCAAAAATAAACTATAATAAATAAATATGAATAAATAAAACTGGAGAGTAAATCAAGAAAGGGGAAGACATGTTATCTAGGAAGCAGAAGATCTGACTTACTGTACTAATTTTACTGTATAAAATTCTATTGAAAATATGTTGGGAAGTTTGGGAGGACTTAGACATATGTACAAACAGGGCTGCCATACACATGGCCGTGCACTCTGCAATTCACAGGGCATCATAAAACCTAAGCAAATGAAGACATGATTAAACTCAGGAAAAGGAAAAGTTGTTTAAGAAAGGAAATGTAATCATAAATGCTACTTTTCCATCAGTTTATTATTTATACAAAATCATAATGTATACATAATAGTTCATAGGAAAGTTGCTATAACTCTATTGAGAGGATAAGGAGGAGAGAACTGGGTGAAAGATAAGAAAGCCTAAATAAATTATGGTACATCCATGCAATTGAACACTATGCACCCATTAAAAAGAAAGCAATGAATACTATGTACCCATCTGAAAAATGTCTAAGATACATTAGTGGAAAATAAAATAAGAGGTAGCCAAATATCTATTGACTACTCCCATTTTTGTTTAAAAAATATAAATAGATGGCTTTGTCTTTTGGCAAATGATCCAGATTGGCCAGTGCAGTAAATTGTGGGGAAGAGTGTGTGAGTTGGGGGTGGGGTAGGGATTCTAGCAAGGTAGATAGAGGCCTTTTCTCTAGTTGCTGAGGACTATTCTTGAAGAGGCCTAGTGGTTGATGGTA